CTCACGGCAGCTGCGGTCTCGGGGCCTCAGCGCCACGGATGCCCCCGTGCACGGTGGCCCCCTGTCCTGCCTGTCGCATTTACGCAGGGGAGTCTAGTTGTCCGATTAATTTCTTTCTATTTTTAGTAGAGACGGGGTCTCGCTCTTGCTCAGGCTGGTCTCAAACTCCTGAGCTCAACTGATCCGCCCGCCTCGGCCTCCCAGAGTGCTAGGATTACAGGCATGAGCCACCGCGCCCAGCCAGCCCTAGCTGTTTGGGAGGCTGAGGGAGGAGGATCACTTGAGCCCAGGAGTTCGAGGTTGCAGTGAGCTGTGATTACACCACTGCACTCTAGCCCAGGTAACAGAGCAAGACCCTACCTCAAAAACAAAACAGAATAGAAGGAACCTTCTGCATATCTTTGGACCCAAGAAGACATCTTCTAGGGATCTATTTGAGGAACTCATTAGAAGTGTACACAAGGGATGGTCATCACAGTGTTAACTTAATTGTATTCACTTGTAAAAACTTGGAAACAACTTACGTCTCGTAGAATGTAGGACTTAAGTAAAAATCTTGGTACAGATTGGCTAGTAGATACTCAGTTTATTTGTCGAATAAATGAATTGTACATTCATCACAGTGGAGGACTATATAACCATTAAAACGCATGCTACAGAATGTTTTATAGCATATGTAAATGTCTGATCTCTTGCCAAGTTAAACAAAAGCATAGCAAAGCTATATATTCAGTACAAACCCATTTTCGTAAGACAAGTATATATATGTGTGTATCTATGTATCGAACATGTAACAAGCAGGGGCTTTAATGTGGAAAGTGTGTAAAGAGAATACCCACAGACACTTGGGAAAACATAATTGAACAATCCATCTATCTCATCACCTCTCTTGCAGCCAGGGAGAGCCAGCACTTGTGGAAGATGTCATACAGGAGCCATTCTCAATGGCCCTTACGCTACTCTTGTTTTTTTCCTATAATACTTGTCATCTTTTAATATACTGTATAATTTACTTATATTGTCTGTCTCCTTGTGAGACCAGAAGCTCTGTGGGATAGGATCTTTGTTCACCGATGTAGCCCAAGCACTTAGAACAGCGCCTGGCACGTGGCAAAGGACCATCCGTATTTGTTGAATGACTCAATGAACTCGCAGAACGGTTTTCAAATACGGGGTGGCGGACCCCGTTAGAGAGTCTCACTGGGCTGTTCATTTGTGCCCAGAGCTGCTCCCACCGAGTCTTCCAGCTCATCCTTGAGGGCGGCATCTGGTAACATCGGTTTCCTTTGCCAGGAAGACCCTGTCCCCGGGTTCTGAGGGCAACCTGAGGTTGAAGGTTTGAACCCCTAGATGTATCTGTGAGGTTTGCTAGAATTGCTTAACGTGTAGGTCACTTAACTGTGCTACAGAGACATTTTTTCTGGCGTCTCTGGGTGGGCACGAACTACAAAGTTACATTTTTAAATAAGTAACTTTCCTAAAAAACGAAAGCAACTAAAGCAACATACAACACTTAAAAGTCTACATGAACTGGCCGGGCGCGGTGGCTCACGCCTGTAATCCTAGCTCTCTGGGAGGCCGAGGCGGGAGGATTGTTTGAGCTCAGGAGTTCGAGACCAGCCTGAGCAAGAGCGAGACCCCGTCTCTACTAAAAATAGAAAGAAATGATCTGGACAACTAAAAATATATAGAAAAAATTAGCCGGGCATGGTGGCGCATGCCTGTAGTCCCAGCTACTCAGGAGGTTGAGGCAGAAGGATCGCTTGAGCCCAGGAGTTTGAGGTTGCTGTGAGCTAGTCTAACGCCACGGCACTCGCTCTAGCCGGGGCAACAGAGTGAGACTCTGTCTCAAAAAAAAAAAAAAGTCTACATGAACAAAATTAAGGAAATAAATCCCCCACTCCGAAAATCACTACAGTACAGTGCGACCTCTCGTGTTTTTCTGCATTCTTTTTTTTGAAAGGGGGGCACATTTGCCATATCACCGTTTTACATATTTATGGTTTTGAATCACGTTTCACGGTATCTTATCTCATTTTTCTTGAAGGATTTTATCCTGGAACATTACAGTGAAGATAGCTATTTATATGAAGACGAAATCGCAGATCTTATGGATCTGAGACAAGTGAGTTTCTGTGCGCGGCAGGGGAGGGAGGGCGCTTGATCACTGCGGACCGTGGTCGGTGGTATCGGGGATGAGTGGGGGCGACGGTGGCTGTCGGGATCGTCCCCTCCTCTTGCCGCATGAGCCAACCATGCAAGGGGAGAGGGCTGGGGCTGGACTCCCGGATTCCTGACTTCATCCCAGCCCCCTTTCCACACCTCCCAGAGTCCACCATACTGGCCACGGGGCCCACATGCCACAGAAGTAGAGAGACGGTGCCTGTCTGTGTGTGCAGGGCACCTTCTGGGGTGGGCCGGTGCAGGCTTCTCCTCTGCTCAGCCCTCTGTGGTTCTTCTCCTTTCAGGCTTGTCGGACGCCCAGCCGGGACGAGGCCGGGGTCGAACTGCTGATGACTTACTTCCTCCAGCTGGGTTTTGTCGAGAGCCGCTTCTTCCCGCCCACGCGACAGATGGGGCTCTTGTTTACCTGGTAGGTGCCTGAGGTCTGCACGGGGCTTTCCCACGGCAGCTGCGGTCTCGGAGCCTCAGCGCCACGGATGCCCCCATGCACGGTGGCCCCCTGTCCTGCCTGTCGCATTTACGCAGGGGAGTCTGGGGAGAGGTCAATAAATTGGCATTTATTTATGAGCGCATCTGAGAGCAGACGGCTCCAACAGACCATGGCTACTTGCTGCTCGGAACAAGCGAGCCAAGGAGAAGAGGCATTTTTTTGTGGTCATTGTATTGTTGGGGGAACACCAGGGCTCTGAGGTGAAACTAACAAGTAGCAAGACTTTTGTCCCAGGTTGGACGGGTGTGCACATGTGTGAGAGACAGAATGAGAGAGAGAGACAGAGACAGAGAGACAGAGACTTGGGTTTTGTCCCAGTGAGACGAGGGCTGCAAACAGAAATAGATCCGATTTTAAAAACTGAAGCAGAACATTTGATTCTTTTCCAAAATTGGTATTTTCAAAGATTAGTATAAATACTCTGGAGATGCCCTGCCTCTTCTCTGAATGTCTTTAGGAGTGTGGATAAAAGGAAAATAAACCCTAATAGTGCAGGGGCGTATTAAGAATTAAATTTGACCAGAGCTGACAGGTGGCTACTGATCCCTTTCGGAAAGGAAGGGCAGATGACCTGTCACAATGCAGCAGGCTGCCTTCGCGGGCGACAGGGCTAAAGGTGGTTTCTCCTTAGTCTGGAATTAGGAAGAAGTTCCCTGCCTTCTTCCTGGTTGACACGGGAACTTTAAAACAAATCCTGGGAGGAGTTAATAACGGCTAGATTTCATTTAGGAGACTTTACCGTTCAGAGCGTTTTTACGTGCACAGCAAAACTAAGTGGAAAGCATAGAGCCCATATGCCCCCTGCTACACCACCCTCCCCTCCTAACTATCGCTGTCCCCCACCAGAGGGTGCATTTGTTACAGCTGAACCTGCCTTGACACATCGTCATCACCTAGACTCCATCGTCTACATTAGAGTTCAGTTTTTTTTTTTTTTGAGACAAGGTCTTGCTCTGTTGCCCCAGCTAGAGTGCAGTAGCATGATCATAGCTCACAGCCACCTCAAACTCCCGGGCTCAAGCGATCCTCCTGCCTCAGCCTCCCGAGTAGTTGGGACTATAGGTGCACGCCACCGTGCCTGGCTAATTTTTCTGTTTTTGGGAGTGACAGGGTCTCGCTTTTGCTCAGGCTAGTCTCAAACTCCGGGCCCCAAGCCATCCTCCTCCCACACCAGCCTTGCAAAGTGCCAGGATGACAGGCGTGAGCCACCGCACCTGGCCGAGAAGCCTTACTTTTGTGTGTGGCTGTGGGGTCTTTATTCAGTATGATCAGACCTGTCATCTTGCTTGGGAACAAAAGCCTCATCGCGTGATGTGTAGCTTTTGAATGTTACTCAGGAAGTGAATTTTGTCTGTTTTCACCCCCAAGTGGCGTTAACTAGCCAAGTCACTTGCGTGTGTTCTTTGAAATAGGTACGACTCCCTCACTGGGGTCCCGGTCAGCCAGCAGAACTTGCTCCTGGAGAAGGCCAGTGTCTTGTTCAACGTGGGCGCCATCTACACCCAGGTCGGGACCCGGTGCAACCGGCAGACGCAGGCTGGGCTCGAGAGTGCCGTGGACGCCTTCCAGAGAGCCGCAGGTGTGTCTCCCCGAGGGCTGCCGGACAGGACCCGGGCCCTGCCAGGTGGCGCCAGGGTAGCCCAGCTGAAGATGGTCCTGGGGTCCTCCCCGGCCCCGGTCTTGCCTCACCAGCACGAACGGGCCGCGCCAGTTTTCGGCACTTTTGCAACTTCCCATTAAGTGACATCCCGGATGGCTGAAACCCCGTCGCCTCAGTCTGGGGTGGCTCGTGTACGCAGCGAGTGCTGTGGGCGACGATTAATCTTTTCCAAATGTATGTCCCCGAGGACGGCAGTGGATAACTGTTTCTTTCAACGCTGTGCTGAAGAACGGAATAGCTTTTCCCAAACAGTTACTTCGTTTTTTCGCCTTTTGTTAGGTGCACCTTGTCAGAGCACGCTATCTCTGTGCCCGCATACTGGGCTCGCTCTGCCGCGTTTGCGCCTGGGGTTGGTGTTCTCGGCCCTTTGTCAGGTGCTGCGTTCAAGGGACGCCTTGTCATGCTGTCGCCTTCTTCTGGGACTTCCAGATGCTTTTCCCGTTCAACCTCTTTTTCCTTGTCAGTCACCCTGGAAACTCTTCCTGGTGCAGGAACAGCTGCAGGGGGGAGGACAGAGGCAGCTGAGCGCCCGCCTGGGGTCTCCAGGCCTGGTGCTGTGGAGAGCCTGGTACGGCTCTCGTGCATCCAGGGTCCTGCGTCGCTCCCTCCAGCAGGGCTGTGTCTGCAGCGGAGTCCTTGCGGGGAATGTGCGCCGGGGCAGGGCACAGGGCACACCACGGCGCGGTCCCCACGCTGGCCCCACAGTGTGCGCCTTCGGTGCTGCCCCATCGTTCTGCCCTGGGGCGTGGTCTCCCCCGACCCGCACAGAACCTCTGTGGCCCTCTCCCCTGCTCTGCAAGCCCGTTTTGGCTCACTGTGGGGTCTCCTGTGTTAGACGCTTGGCCCCTTGGGATGAAACAGGACGCTGAGATTCCAAGTGGGCGTGGAATTCTCTGGCTGCACATCCCTTTCTGGACTGTCTTTCTTTCTGAGGAATCTTGAGGAGGCTTCCATGGGACCTGTCTCCAGGATTGCTGGGATTTAGTCAAAGTGAAGCTTGAGCACGGTGGGAGTGCAAGGGGACCCCCAGGGGAGCACTAGCTTGCAAAGGGTGCCACCCTCTGCAGGGCAGCAGAACCAGAGGAACCGGTTAGATGGGATTCGCCTGGGAGATTATATTTCAGCTCCTGATTGACTGTCAGTTAATGCTTCTGACAGTTAATTTTCTAAAGTTCAGAAAAGGCAGCTGGGAGCTACAGCATGAAAATTTCCACTGGAGTGGACTGAATGGCTATTTCTGGGGGTACTGGGGAAAAGCCCCCGGTTTCTCATGTGTGAGCGTCACCTGTGAGCCCCTCAGCCGTGCACCTGCTTCCGGCTTTCACCTCCACAAATGTCGGGTCGTGGGTGGACTGTCTCCGGTTGTCCCAGGGCGGATAGTGGAGGGGAGGCTGGTTTCCTTGCTTAATACAGATGTAAATGTTTTGGAAGAGAATCCAGTGTTTTTTAATTGTGCTAAAGTATACACAACATAAAATCTATTTTAACCATTTTTTTATTATGGTAAAATACACATAACATAAAATTGCCATTTTAACCTTTTTTTTTTTTCCCTTTTTCATTGAGACAGAGTCTTGCTCTGTCTCCCAGCCTGGAGTGCAGTGGCGTCGTCATATCTCCCTGCAACCTCCAACTCCTGGGCTCAAGTGATCCTCCTGCCTCAGCCTCCCTAGCAGCTGGGCCTACAGGCATGCGCCACCATCACACCTGGCTAATTTTTTGTTCATTTTATTTTTTGGTAGAGACGGGGTCTCACTATTGCCCAGGCTGGTTTTGAACTCCTGGCCTCAAGCAATCCTCCCACCTCGGCCTCCCAAAGTGCAAGGATTACAGGCGTGAGCCACCACATCTGGCCGGTTGTAACCTTTTTTTTTTTTTTTTGAGACAGAGTCTCACTGTGTTGCCTGGGCTAGAGTGCCGTGGCGTCATCCTAGCTCACAGCAACCTCAAAACTCCCGGGCTCAAGCGATCCTCCTGCCTCAGCCTCCCGAGTAGCTGGGACTACAGGCATGCGCCACCATGCCCGGCTAGTTTTTTCTACATATTTTTAGTTGGCTAATTTTTTCTATATATTTTTAGTTGTCCAATTAATTTCTTTCTAATTTTAGTAGAGACGGGGTCTCGCTCTTGCTCAGGCTGATTTCGAACTCCTGAGCTCAAACAATCCACCCGCCTCGGCCTCCCAGAGTGCTAGGATTACAGGCGTGAGCCACCGCGCCCGGCCTCGTTGTAACCGTTTTAAGTGTGCAGTTCATTGGTGTTTCATGTTCTTGTGCAGCCATCACCGCTGTGCATCTCCAGAACTTTCTCATCATCCAAACTGAAATTCTGTATTTACTAAACACTAACTCCCTTTCCCCTTCTCCCCACAGCCCCTGGGCACCTTTATTCTACATTCTGTTCCTAGGAATTTGACTATTCCGGGTACCTCATCTAAATGGAATCATATAATACTTGTTCTTTTGTGATTGGTTTATTTCACTTAGCATGTCTTCATTTATACTGTGGCAAGTGTGGGAATTTCATTCCTTTTTAAGGCCGAGAAGTATTCCATCGTGTGATATGCGTATATCACACGTGTCCATCCATTCATCCATCGACAGACGTTTGGGTTGTTTCTGCCTTTTGGCGTTTGTGAGTGATGCTGCCATGAACAGGGGTGTACAGGTGTCAGTGAGGCCCTGCTTCCAGTTCTTTGGGGGTACACCTAGGAGTGGAATCGCTGGATCATATGGCCATTAAGAATCCAATGCATAAAGATGCCCTAGGACACCGATTTTACATTTTTGCTTCTGTCATTCTCTACAGCAGCGCGGCGAAGTAAATATGACCCCAGACTAATGAGCAAAAATGTGACACTTCTAGGGGTTTTAAACTACCTGAAGGAGACGTTCACGCACACCCCCAGCTACGACATGAGCCCCGCCATGCTCAGCGTGCTCATCAAAATGATGCTCGCACAGGCGCAGGAAAGCGTGTTTGAGAAATTCTGCCTTCCCGGGATCCGGAACGAATTCTTCATGCTGGTGAAGGTCGCTCAGGAGGCTGCCAAGGTGAGACTTCCCGGTTCCTGTGAGTTCTGGGGGTGGCAGGGTACGTCGGTACAGGTGTGCTGGGAGCAGCAGGGGCTTCCCACGGCAGCCTGCCCACCACCTGGGCAGCGTGCCCACCCCGGCTGGGACCACGGGCTCGCATTTTCTTGGCAAATATTGGTGCTTCAGATACGGATCACTGATTCCATCTGTAGCTTAGTCTAAAAACCAGCATAGTGACAGCTGCCCGATCCCCCTTGTTAACTCCGATGCTGACAGCACGAGGAGTCGCCTGGAGCCGTTCCCAGATTCTGGAATGGCCTCCGGAAGGGGCAACCACATGGAAGAAAGGGCTCTTTCTCTGCAGTTGGCTTTGTGCGGGCCCCTGCGCCTGGCTGCCCCCTCCCAGTGCCCCCTCTGTTTCAGGTGGGAGAGGTCTACCAGCAGCTGCACGCGGCCATGAGCCAGGCACCGGTCAAAGAGAATGTCCCCTACTCCTGGGCCAGCCTGGCCTGCGTGAAGGCTCACCACTACTCGGCCCTGGCCCACTACTTCACTGCCACCCTCCTCATCGACCACCAGCGTAAGGCTTGGGCGCCTGGTGGCTGGGGGTCTGCTCAGGGCTGTGGTCGGGCTGTCGGGGTTGGGGAGGGGACGGGGACTCTGAGCTGAGTGAGAGACACCTGCCCACCCTGGAGATGCTCACAGCCTGAAGGCAGAGGTTGACTCAGGCGGCTGTCACACAGGGCAGAGTGGGAGTAGGGGCTATAAACTCTTGTTGGGGAGGAGGAGGGGCAGCTTCAATTCCGCCTGGGGGCAAGCAGGTGACTTTTCACCTGGAATCTAGAATCTAAGGGATGCCAGAAACTCAGTAATCAAGATAAGGAACAGGCCGGGCGCGGTGGCTCCCGCCTGTAATCCTAGCTCTCTGGGAGGCCGAGGCAGGCGGATTGTTTGAGCTCAGGAGTTTGAAACCAGCCTGAGCAAGAGCGAGACCCCGTCTCTA